GCGTCTAGTACATTTTTTCGTAAAAAATGCTCAAGGTAGGTCGATTAAATAGAACTCAAACTTTGAAAATATGCCAGCCACATAAATGATTTTACAGCGCTGCTGTAAGTATGATCAGAGAAAACATCTATGTTTTTCCCATTTACGGCACAAAGCTCCATCCTGAATCAGAGAGCTGTCTCATTGGGCCCACTAGCCTCTCGTGGTCAAACTCATCGCTGAGAAGTTGCTCCACTTAGGCTTGGGAGCACTGGCTTTTATCCATTCCAGTATAGGCTTTATGCCCAAATCGTCCTGCTGTGCATGTTGTAGTATGTAGTAGTAGTAGTAGTATGTATGTACTTCTACTCGTTGCTGAGGTGATCTGTCCTAAGCATCCTTACAGATACTACTTCCTTACCCTTTGCCTAGTACTATGCATGCATTCTTCAGGACAAGGTCTTCTTGACAATATATCTGCGTTATCTGGAGTTGTGCTCAAACCACTGACTCGTACGCAGCATTTTTGGACCGCTCCATGATAAAAAAATCAGTGTTTGGTCAAAGTGATCCGTTTATAAAGTGTTATACACCAAACGACGTGTCTCACTGAAATGAATGTAGAGACAGTTTTCAAAAAGTGCAAAAATTACAAAATTAACGCAGAAAAACGGAATATTCCTAATCTAGAAAACTTTTAACTTAAAAAGTTGCTCGAGAAAGATCTGTGATATAGTGTTTTGCTAGTGTCAAAAGAAGTGGCTTAGCAGGCTTCAAACTTAGCCACCATCAGCGGGTCTGCAGCTATTTTAGGATACGTTATTACAAAGAGTACATCAAGGCAAAATATTTAACGCCTCGAACTCAAAAATCGGACAAAAAACGGAAGAGAAATGGAGTTCTAAAAATACATTTTTTCAACTAGAAACTTCAACACTGAAAATCTCAAAATTTTCAATGAATACCTGCATGTTTTCAGAAATTTTATGAAGGAAGATCTCAATATCTACAATTTGACATTTTTTTAGGAATTTAGAGTGAAATTATTTTAATCAAATTACTTTTCATTTCTATATGTAAACACGCGGTAGGCTTAAAACACCCCTGAAAATTCAGATTTTTTTTAGAAACACTATCAGATTTAAAGAAGTAATTTTAATTTTTTTTTTCAAAATTTTCTAGCAAAGATACTCCAATTATAGACTATTCGCGGTTTTTGGTAATTAGTTTTTGAAATTCAAATAGTAAAAACTCAAAAAAAAAATTGATGGTATAAATTTTATTTATTACAAAAATTTAAAAGAGCATTTAGATCTTAATATTACATATTTTTTTCAGAATTTTTGGGTTAATAGTTTCTGAGATATAAATTTAATTCTAAGAGCTGATAGGTCCTGAAAATTGTGTTCTCTAAAATCTCCACTTTAACTGTGTTTTCAGTTTACAGGAAAACGGATGTATATAAGTTATATAACCTATACATATGTATATTATATATATATATATCATCATCACCATTACAGACCTTCACAAGTCCACTGCTGAACATAGGCCTCCCCCAAGTAATGCCACAAAGCACGGTCCTGAGCCACTTGCATCCATCGACTTCCTGCATATTTTACCAGGTCGTCACACCATCTAGTGGGGGGACGCCTTACACTACGCCTACCGGTACGAGGCTGCCACTCGAGAACCTTTCTTCCCCATCAGTTATCGGTTCTTCGAGCTATATGGCTGGCCCATTGCCACTTCAGCTTACTAATCCGTTGGGCTATGTCGGTCACTCTGGTTTTACTGCGGATATACTCATTTCTGAGTCTATCACGCAGAGAAACTCCGAGCATAGCCCTTTCCATAGCTCGCTGAGCGACCTTGAGCGTCCTCATACGCCCAGCAGTGAAGGACCACGTCTCTGATCCGTAAGTCATCACTGGCAACACGCACTGGTTGTACACTTTAGTTTTCAGAGATTGAGGTATACCTGACGAGAAGATGTGTCGTAATTTCCCGAACGCTGCCCAGCCGAGTTGAATCCATCGATTGACCTCTCGGTCGAAGTTGGACTTACCTAGTCGGACTATTTGTCCCAGGTAAACGTACTCGTCAACAACTTCGAGCATAGTGCTCCCCACAACTACCGGCATACGTGTGACATGGACATTGAACATAATCTTTGTTTTGTCCATGTTCATCTTAAGAACTATCCGTTGGGAGACACCATTGAGGTCATTGAGCATAGTGCTAAGGTCCTCCAGCGATTCTGCCATAAGGACTATATCGTCGGCAAATCGAAGGTGACTGATGTACTCGCCATTGATGTTAATACCGTATCCTTTCCAATCCACTGGTTCGAAAACGTCTTCCAACGGAGCGGCGAAGAGTTTCGGGGATATATTGTCACCCTGTCTTACACCTCTCTGCAGTTGGATAGGTTTCGAACTCTGGTTCTGTACTCGGATAGCCATCGTAGCCCTACTGTACAAACACTTCAGCACCTTGATATACCGACAGTCAACTTGGCACCGCTGAAGGGACTGTAGCACCGCCCAAATTTCGACGGAATCAAAGGCTTTCTCATAGTCCACATACGCCAGGGAAAGTGGTAGATTGTACTCTTCGGTCTTGTGTACAATCTGCCGCAGGGTATGTATGTGGACTATGGTACTAAAGCCTTTTCGAAAACCGGCTTGTTGAGGAGGTTGGAAGTCGTCCAGTCTGCGTGCGAGACGATTCGTAATGACTCTCGAAAACAGCACGTAGACGCGGCTCAGAAGGGAAATCGGTCTATGGTTCTTCAAGAGAGCGTTGTCGCCTTTCTTAAAGAACAAGACCACCGCACTTCTGCTTCACGCCTCCGGAGTAGTGCCACCATGGAGAACGGAATTGAAGAGCTTCTGAAGGACTTCAAGTACCGGTGTTCCACCCGCTTTCAGAAGCTCCGCTGTAATTCCATCCTCGCCTGGGGCCCTGCCGTTTTTAAGGTGCTGGAGAGCCATTTTAATCTCGCTCAGACTAACGTACGGGATATCATCGGAATAGTGTCGGATAAGACTTGCTCTTGTATCGTTACTCACACTTGTGTGTGGCTCCAACGATGATGTGTACAGCTGCCCATAGACCTCTCAATCTCACTCAAAATCTCAGGTGTCCCGGAAACGATGCTGCCACACTCAGTCTTCAGCTTTTACAGTTAGCTCTTTCTGGCAGACAGATCTCTGGCAAAGACTTTGGAGCCCTGGTTCCGCTCGATCGCTTCTTTAATACGAGCAGTATTAAAGTTGCGTAAGTCTTGCCGCATGCATTTGGAGATCTGTCTGTTCAGTTGCCTGTATGCTGTCAAATCTGTTGACGATTGCAGCCTCATCTCCCGTCTAACAGCCATGAGATTAAGAGTGTGATCGTAGAGTTTTTGTGTTCTTCTGCGGCGGGTCTTGCAGAACTTAGCTCCGACCGCATGGACAGTTTCCACGAGCTTGTCATTCATATCGTCCACTGCATTGCAATCTTCTGGGCACTGAAAGCGGTTACGTAACTCGAGCTGAAAAGTCTCGGGATTCTGGATTAGAGCATATATATACTGTGTAAGAGAATGTGTGTGTGTTTTAACTTGAAAATAGTTTAATTTAACAATTTATCAATTACCTTAAGCACAATCACCAGACTAAAATGAAATAATTATCAGGATCATCACAGCTCATGATCAATGTGTGTTGTTTAAGTTTAACTCTGATATTAAGTAGCCTTATCCGAAGAGCATGTATGAGTAGGTACATGGATGTGGAGAAGGCGACAGCGTGCTAAATGGAAGTCTGTAGTCTCTGCCTGCCCCTCTGGATGACTGGCGTGAGTGTGTATGATTATGTTTTAATGATATTAATTTATCAATTACGTTAATATTCAGGGTTGGTGCCAAATATGGAGAAAAAAGTTTTTATTATTCTATTTAGATGACATTAAGATTATTGACATTGTAACTGTGATATTTTGACTTAGTACACAAAAATATTAAAAATATAACTTTTAATAAAAAAGTGTCCATTCCATCTGAGAAGGACTACGCTCGCAAGGAATACCAGCGTGAAATAGAAACATAATGCTGCTATCTTTGTATGGTGATTGTAGAGAATCGCGGACCCTTTTTACTAGAAATAATACATTCCAAGTTAGTTCTTGATAGGGTGACACCGCATTTTTATTTTTAATACAAGTTGTCTCTAAGCCAAAGTATTCACTTACCGTCTAGTGGACTGTGTGTTCGTCTGTCACCCACATTTCTATAAAATATTTTACTAAAAGTAATATTTAGAAAGTAATACTTTTGAATATTTCTCAAGTAATTTTCTATGCCATCAAAAACATAACTTGTAAAAAAACCAAGTCTCGCAACTCAGTTCTTCTAACGTAAAAAGTTGTGAGATCCATGTAATACCAAGTCGGTTAATTTATTCGGTTCCTACTTAAGGGTCCTTCTGTTTTAAGTTATTACTTAACTAGCTAACCTAACAATGTTTTATAGTGACCATATCAATGTTAAAAATCTTTTATGTTTTAAATATATAGATTGACTTGGCCATCGCATGAAAACACAATGCATTTCACAAGTAATACATATTATATTAAATTAGATTGCTTAGTGCGATTGTCAAGTCAATCTATATATTTAAAATATATATTTTCTGTGTCGGAATTAAGATTTGCCTATTGTGTTTTGTCTGTATATCTCTCAAGCATTTCTGATAGCTGCCTTTACGACTTGCATGGAACGAACTGGGGCGATGATGGATTACGTAGCTGTCACACCGCATTACTTAATTAATTTATTGATATTGAAAAGTGTATGCGAATTTAATAGTTCTTATTTCTGTTCTTCAGTACATACAATAGTTATTTCAAACAGTTGAACTATTTCAGATTTTCAGAAAAGTTATCTCATCAATTAATTACGGCTTTATATTACAGAAAGGTAGAGAAATTTTGAAACAAGTCGAAATAGCTTACAACTTTGAAACTATACACTAAGTTTAAATTGTTGTTTGTGATATTGAATCTTTATTAAGAACATTGATTTGTTGCTGTTAAATTAAACATTATAAATAAATATTAATAAAACTATAATGTAAAGTAGTTGCAAATGTCACCGCGACTAAGGTACTTCTTTATTTAGTAGGACTCTTTTTAAACCATAATTTAATATCGACACTATCAATTAACGTTTTTTGTAGTAAAAGTAAAAATGTTTACTCCACCACAAGAAATTGTGACGTTATTTAATGGCTTACACTCACGATACAGCAATCTAATGATATGAGCGTCACATTAGTGATCTAATAAGTCAGTCTCAGCAGTGCATTATCCAATTGTATAAATTTTGTACTATTGCTTCATTTTGCTTTCTTCATTTACTTAAAATACAAGTAAGTTATTAACAAATTTTCCAAAACCAGAATATCAACATCCCCACTCGTGGCGCCGTGCACGCTGCCAGAAGCAAGAGACTGTTTTATAAGCGCCTTTAAATTTAAGGGCATATTTGCCTATTTAATCTTAGTGTCCCCACACTATCAAAATCTTGGCTTTTCAAAAGCCTAGAGAGAAGAGGACTATTATAGTAATTGTTCATAAAGACAGTATGCCCCTTGTTCTCGAGCCCCTTAAGTAGCTCGAGAACAAGGGATGTAATATACCCCAGCTCATTCGAATCTTCTCACAGATACCCCGAATTTGAGTCGCACACCTCGTAAGTTTTTATGCCCTTCGATGCTGCTTTGTTTTTTATAAATTAATTGATGCTTAGCCACCCCTTCCACTGAGTCAAAGACTCATCCAATCCGATGCATTGCCACAACTGATAAAACGCTTGAAATTTCTCATTAAAATGATTCACAATTGGGGCAATCTTCGCGATTTTCGCGCCGCTTTTTGAGAGGTGGCTAATATCATTCTCATTATTCACAAAGTGAGGCATCTGGGTAAGGGCGACAAATCTGGTGTATGTCATGTAAAGACCAAAATTCAGGGTATCGGTTACTTTGCCTTTGACGGTCCAGTATTCCGTGAGATCTGATTTAAAGGCAATGCCGGCCGCAAGAATTAAAGCAAAAAAGGCATACAGCTCGTCGGTATTTGTGTCTTTAAACATGCGCAGCCGGCTGTGAGGCCCCACACTGCCCTTACTTAGTGCGGCCTCCAGCGATTGCTTCGCGTACCGATTTGTTTCCGCAGCTATATCCTCCATTATGCTGCGGTCCCAAATTAATATGAAGGCTTCTTAAGGTGAAGCGAAATGTGAAACCGGCCCTACCGACCCTGTGAATTTCTCCCAAGCTGCTGGAGGTGAATTGCTGGTATGGGCAACGGCTGCCAATCAAATTCCGCGAGCGAGTGTGGGCCCTGGGTTGCCGATGCAGCACTTACGGATGTGGATGGCGTGGATGTGGATGGCGCGGTAGTGGATGGCGGCAGGCTATTTCCGCCGATGATGATGGCTCGGTAGGCAGGTCCATCGGGGCATCAAAATCCATCAACGAATCTAAATAAATTCGTTCGTTTCGAGGACACTGCATATATCCAAAGACGTCGTCATCTTCGTCCACGTCCTCGTTTCATCTGGATCACTTCCTAAAGACAATAACTTTAATTAATATATTTTCTATATGTCTGCTTTCTTTCGACTAACACTAAAAGTCAGTGACTTACCGTAGTTCACAAGATCCGCTAGCTCCGGATCGTCCACATTATAGACCAGCTTCCGTTTATGAACACCAGACCTAAAATAAAACAGACACATTAATACAGAGCTTGACAGTAGCTATATGGAAATTGATGGCTATTTCACTTACACGGACGAAGAGGGGTTTAAAGATACACCCTTCGGGGTATCTGACGTGTTCGGAACCTCCATGAACCTAAAACGAATTTGTACAATTATTACTGAACAGCTATGTAGCAGAAGCAAGATACAAATATATGTGCCTATTTAATTTACTCAGCTGGTGAGGGCACCTGCGACGCATATGCCAAGGGTCTGGGTGTCCGCAAGAGTGCCGAACTTGCGATCGATCTGTAAAAAGTTGACATGTAATACAGAACTTGACAGTAGCAATATGGAAATTGATGGCTATTTCATTTACAGAGACGAAGAGGGTCTAGGACTTACACCCTGCGGGGTATCTGGCATACTCGGAATCTCCATGATTCTAAAACGAAATTTGCACAATTATTACTGAAAAGCTCTGTAGCAGCAGCAAGATATAAATATATGTGCCTATTTAACATAGTCACACATCAACTGGCGAGGGGACCTGCGACGCAGACGCCGAGAGTCCAGGTGTCCGCAAGTGTGCAAAGGTAGCGTTAGATCTGTGAAAAGTTGACATGTAATACACAGCTTAACAGCAGCAAAAAAAACTTACACAGCCAACGACGGCGCAGGCTGGTTGGGAACCCAACGCCGTGGCACTTTTTAGTGCATGGGTTTCTCGAGTGGGCTCCCAACACGTACCGTCGTGGAGTCATGATCCGTCATAATGATGTCCCCGACATATAACGGCGGTCTATTAAAACAGTATGTTACAAAATCAGCTGCAGCTGCATAAACATTAATATGTACTTAGTAAGCACACACTTTTCAATTTCATGCACTCGCCCTCGACCACCTCTTGTTCGTGGTCCACGTCCCCCCCTTCCCGTTGTTGAACACGTCCAACCCCTCTATTCACACGTCTACCTCCTCGACCAACCACCGCTTTACCACCTCTTGTTCTTAAGCCATGTAAAAGAAAGAAAAGGAGCTTAAATAAATAAAAAAAAGTTTTAACAACACACGACACAAAAAAAAAACACAAGAAAGTCAAAAAATGAAATGTCTTTCTCGGTCGGGAGACCACAAAAGAGAAGTACTAAAAGGGTATTTACACGGGTCAGGGTTTTTTTAAATTTATATATATATATATATATTAAAATTATATAATATATATAATAAATTTTATATAATATATATATTAAAATTACACCCAAATAAAAAAGCCTCATTGAAATCGCTTGATACATTTATGCATTACGAATATAAGTACAGACAGATAGAGACATTTTCTTGCCGCCATTTTTATTGCACCTAATTTTGCCCAGGGTGTACATTATTTTAGTAAAAGCACCACCTCTGTATCTTTTACAGTTTCGGCAGGCAGTTGACCATCTCCATAAATGGCCGGATGGATTGTCATCAAACGTGGCTAAAAACCTTAATTTAGCTTTCAATAAAAAAACGCATCAAAATCAGTGCAGTCGTTTAGGAGATACGTTGTTGCCCAGCACACACACACACACACACACACACACACACACACACACACACACACACACACACACACACACACACACACACGCGAGCGCACGCACGCACGCACGCACGCACGCACGCACCCACGCACGCACGCACACACGCACTCACGCACGCACGCACGCACGCACGCACGCACGCACGCACGCACGCACGCACGCACGCTCGCACGCTCGCACGCACGCACGCACACATTCACTCAAAACAACAAAAACATTTCCAACAAATCAAGAATTATTATGTAAAATATAAATAAATATGTCGGCGTACCGGCGAATCGATGGTAGTAATCAAAGAAAATATTTGTCTACTCTGAATTACAAGAGCCGTGGTAGCTCAGATGGTTAACGCTCGCTGTAAATATAACAGAACGCGAGTAACCCGGGTTCAAGCCCCGCCGGCACCAATGAAATTGTTAATTGCAATTTTAAGTGCTGATTTACCACGTGTCGGCGGTGAAGGAAAACATCGTGAGGAAACCTGAATGTCTGAGGAATAAGAAAAAAAATATTTCGAAGACATATGAAGTTCGCCAACACGCATTGGGGCAGCGCGGCGGACACTTCCTTGCCCTAAAACCCCTCAGAAATGAGGGGGAGGCCTATGCCCAGCAGTGGGACGTATATAGGCTGTAACTTTACTTTTTTACTTTACTCTGAATTACAGGCATGAATCTGAATAACTTTGAGTTAAAACGAAAAAGCACTTACCTTGGCTTGATGTTAACGTAATTTAATAAGACGCACTATCACACTATCACAAAAAATAATTTGGAAGCAGTTCACGCACACCACGAAACTACGTCCTCGAAAAGATTAGACAAACATATTTTTTTTCTTAAAGGAAGTCTGTTCTCACTGACTTAAATGAATAAGCACAGGCTATAGAGCCATACCGCCCACGATCCAAAACATCAATTGGTTTATGAAAACAGACTTGAAATCGGAGCTTGCGACACGGTCATAATATGACCGGTATCTAATAAGGGCTTACATTTTGCGGTCATATTATGACCGATATCAGGTGAGGGGTTAATGTGATTCATAGTCGAAAAGCGCCTCAGTTCGTCTTGCATCTTAAGTCTAATGTCGTGTATATTTGAAACTCGTGCATAGAATAATTAGTTTAATGAAAAATGTAACGAAGATAGTAAATTGGATATTTTTTATAAAATTAAAGTGAAAAACTATTTGACAGTTCATCTGTTGGTAATTGTCTCCTGCAGTCTATGAACAGATGCTACCATTTTGAGTTAATTAAATCGAGTAATATATAGAAATATAATAGTTATTTTTACACTGCCGATATCCGCTTGCTATGTACCCGTTTTTTGTATTCAAAATACAATAGTCTTTTAGTAATGAAGTAACCTGACTTTAGTTTACAGGATAGAAAATTTTGTATAGATTTTAAAATACTAAACTTCTTCGGGGGATAAGTCGCTCGCGTCCATAGGCTTTGACCACCTAATCCTAGGCCCACCCTACACGTGTCCCCCTGGTGGTGCTAAATGAGCAACAAGCCGATAGCACAGACTCGGCTCCTCGCCGTGGTAGCGGCGTTAAATATACTATCCCATTCGCACCATGAGGAATCAAATTAAAGAAATGGCCCCGAGTTCCCGGCGCCCCTTTAATGGGGCAGGGGTGCGAAGAATCTCCGGGAGGAAAACCGGCGACGAGGCTCGCCACCCGTCACGTTCTGTCTCCCGGAGGGGCGAAAAGTGGATTGCAGAGGCCCGTCTGGCTACGTTGAATGTATGTGGAGCAATGAATGATAAAATGGATGAAGTATGCGAGGTGATGTATGATAGAGGAATAGATTTGTTATGTGTAAATGAGACGAAACGGAAGGGGAAGGATGTCACTACACATGGCATGTATACCGCATACTGGTCTGGTGTAGACGAGCTCGAGCGGGCATGCCAGGGAGTAGGTATCATCCTATCAGAAAGAATGGTGCAATGTGTGAAAGAGTATGAATGTGTAAGCCCAAGACTGCTATGGATACGATTGAAAGTGGGCTTAAAGAAGTTGTTTGTGCTAGGGGTCTACGCCCCAGACATTTCTAAGCCCACTCATATCCGAGAGCAGTTTTGGGAAACGGTAAGGATGGTATTAATGAAATGTAAGGGAAATGAAAATGTTGTTATGCTAGGAGATTTTAATGGAAGAGTTGGGGTGAGGAGGCTTGGTTATGAAAGGATATTGGGAACGTTTGGTGATGAAAGTATAAATGAGAATGGTGAAAGCCTCCTCACTGTATGTATGGAAAAGAATCTTTTTGTGACGAACACTTTCTTTCGCCACAAGAGGATTCACATGTATACTTGGGAAAGAGGTGATGATAGAAGCATGATAAATCTCATAATTGTGGATGAAAGATTGAGGGGCGCAGTAGTGGATTCAAGGGTTTACCGGGGGTCAAACGTAGGAACGGATCATTTTTTGGTTTTATGCCGAATTAATGGTCTATTCAGGCGGTGGCGCCATCGGGGTCATCTGTGTCTACCACTGCGTTACAGCGTATTAGAACAGAAAGATTACAAGATGAAGGTGAGAAAAACAAGTTTAAATGTAGACTGAAAGAAAACGTAAGTGGTTTGGATGAATTATGTATGAATGATTTTGACTTGGAGAATGTATGGCAAAATATTAAGAAAGGTTTGGTAGATGCAGCTACCGAAGTATGTGGTGTTAGTAAAAGAAAGAATGAAAGGAAAAATAATACTTTGTGGTAGGATGATGAGATACGTACGGAAGTTGAAGCAAAGAAGAGAGCATGGCTAGATTTACTAGCAACTAAGGCTGGTAATTCTAGCGGTACGAATGATGATTTTGAAAGAAAAAAGGCAGTCTTTAGACATCTAAATAAAAGAGTAAAAGAAGTAGTTGAAA